AAGTACTAGAATCTCCTAGACTCACTAGATGAGCCCTCCAAGCCTTGCCTTGCTAGAGCCCACATTAATTTCATGCTGTTTTTGATTTATATCACTTCATGACTCAGTACAGTTTGAACAGTTAACAGTTTGAAGGCTGTACACAGGCATAAATCTTTGCAGAAAAATAATAATATCTTAGAACCCATTTGAGGTCTTAATCTTCTTTTGTCATTGTTAATTATGGGTGCTGGATAGTGTTCAGAATGGTATAGACATGTTGATACTGAACTACAGTAAGTAAAAAGAAAAAAAACAGACATATTTGTATTCCTTGAAGTTGCTAGCATATATTCATGAATTACTTTTGCTGGATACTTCAAGCCTGATCTCTCCAAGTCTTACAGTTGGTGTGGGTATTTAATCCTATGCAAAGTGAACACTGCACCCTTGTATTTTCACTGGATTGTCTACATTGGAGTAACAATCTCAACTTCCCCAGCTCTGACCAAATCCTTCAATCTCATTTGCTCACACCACCCCATCAGGACTGTTATGTTGCATGCTATATACATTAGGGAATAATCTAACACCTCTCATGTAGAAGCACGTGGGCTTTGGCCTTAGGGTTATTCTGCCATTCATACATAAGGTTGGAAAGAGCATTTAGTAGTAAGAGCTCCCAAAAAAATCATTAAAATTTAATTTGCTTGTGAGAAGGAAGGCGTAAAGCACAGGAGATTATGTTCAGTTTATGAGCCTTGACCTTTTATGCTTAGCCATTTCTCCAGTTTCATTTTGGTTCATGAAGTACGTATTTCACATAGCTCTGGTTATTATTACGTACTTCTTATTTTATTAATATTACTTGAATGTATATGGGAGGCGATCATTTCCTTTATTGCTGTGGGAGACAGCATCCTGTATCAGTCAGGAAGTACACGGGGGTTACCATTAAATGTTCTGTGTGCTGAGCCTATGGTCAACATTAGAAAAGGGAACTGAACAGATGCTCTGCAACTTCAGATGTGTTCCTGCTGTCAGTGCTGAGAGGACATGAAACTTTCTAATAGCAAAACCCCAGGCATGTCTGAGCCCCTCAAGCCCTACTGAATTTCCAGCCACCTGAGCGGATGTTCAGCTGCTGTAGGAACCACTGCTTACAGACACCATTGCAGCTGAATGATGTTTCCCTTTTTCCCAACACTTGTGGCTGCTCAGTAATGATCATCGTGGGTCACTGTTTATTATCCCAGCTTCACAGTAATGTTATTCTTCACAGCCCCCCACATGACTGTTTTCAGTCCCTCTTTCCCTTTGGACTTCGAACACTTCTTAATCTAAGACAGAGAAAAAAGGCAAATAAGTACAAAACCCATAGACAATGCTAAAACAAAAAGCGTGTCTGGCTAATAGCCAGATCCTTCCAATGGATGGAAAGATGTGCCCTTTCATGTCCATACACTGAGTTTCTGCAAGACTCTTCCTATCCTGAAGAGCTACAGCCAAGCAAATAAATGTAAAACACCTGATGAAGGATTTTCTTTGTGCAGTCCTCATATCTGTACCCACAGTGAAATCTCCCACGATCAAGAAGGGTAGAGAGGTCAAGACCAATAAATTGTTCCAAAACATGCAGACAGTAAAACTCTAAAAAATAAAATTAAAAAGCATCCTGATACTAAATAATGATAGTGATGCAACCACACTCTTCTACAGACTGCTCATTTTGTGTCGTGTTAGTGTGTGTGAGGGAATATTTCATTTAAGTGGGATGGTAAAGGGTAGGGCTGCCGGAATCTGCAGTACTTGCAATAACATCTTTGGACAACAGGCTTTGATCCACCCATTTAGCTTTTCCCAGCAAATTAATGAACGGAGAAAAGGTGAAAGGAGCTCTGTAAATAAGTCTGAAATCAACTGTCACAATGCTTTGTGGAACTGGAGGCAGGAGATTAAGGCCTCCTTTCACTGATATTTGATTTACACCAGGCATTCTTTATTTTAAGTAACTTCTCTCTGTATCTTGACAGGTGGGTTGGCTGCACAGCAGTCATCAACATAAAACCTTTCAGTGCTGGAACTGTGCTGGAGTGTGAGTTGGCAAACTACATCTCTGCATATAGACCCTTGCCCATTCTTTACTATCTTCATTTGCAACAGAGTACACAATGCTCAGTATATGAATGGCAGCTATGGAGGAGCAGATATTTGGAGTTACAACAGAACAATGGGGGTAATACCTCCTTCTGTGTCAAAATAGCTCATAAAGCATGCTTTCTCAGGAACTGCAGTTATCAGGTGCTGAAAAAGACTAGCAAAAATACATCTTTAGTGAACTTCTATGTGCCTGAGCTAGTCAAGTATGGCAAGAATGTAGACCTTATTGTATTCTGGAGGATATAAATAAAAAATAAGTACAATAGAATAGTCAGGACACTGAAAGCTCTACAACCTTGTGGATACATACCTTTTTCTTAAAATCTCTTTATTCTGAACATTTCAGAAGTCCAGCTTGATGAAGAAAACATGTAAGTATGCTGTAAAATATGAATGTCTACACCACATAACAAAATTGTCTGAACTGTGACCTGACCATTGAAAATTAGTCTTTCAGGTAGCATTTTAAGGGGGGGACAGGCAGCTTTTCAGGAAATTTTAAGAAAGTTTTTGTAAACAATTAGCCTTGCTTCTTTATCTTAGATTAATAAATTCAATATCATGCTATCAGAATTTCTTCTCATCTTTCTGGGCATTTTATTAACATCTGACACTTGCAATGGATAAGCTTGAAACAACAGTATTAATAACAGTATATGGTATTTATTAACAGTAGGATGGTAGGTAATTTGGAGAGACTGCATGAGACTATAAACTAGTAACTGATACACATACACTGAGTAAATTACAGGTGAAACCCAAGGATCATTCTTTCCCACAGTTTTTTTGGCTGAGGCTGTCTTGGATTAGGAAGATTATGTGATCTGTTCTTAAAGAAAAGCATTTATCTGTATAATTCAATGTCATTGGATTTGACTTCAGTTAAGAGAATCCAACAGGGCTTCAAGACCAAGAAAGGAGTTCCTCACTTGTGTTTCTGCAGTAATGAGAAGATGCCTTTTCCCTCCACATCAAGTGCAGCTTCGATGCCTATGTCCTCTACAGGCATAAGCCAGTGTCTCTCTGTGCCTTCCTAATCCTCAGGCATCTATGGCAACTTTATTCACTATTTGTGATGCAGAAATCTTTGCTAATATAAGCAGTGGAAAGAAGTGCCTAGGAAGTCTGCAAAATCGCCATCACTGAAACTTTTAAGATCAGTTCAAACAAACTTCTGCGAGGAATAGAACAGCTCAGTCTGATTTTACAGATTCCTCTGATTTCTTGGAAATGATCTTATTACTGATGCATTTCAACAAGCAGACATAGTCAAAACTTGTGGTTTCTGTGATACTGGGAGTGTAAGAGACTCAGACTTTTTGGGGGATTTAAAATTGTTCTTGTTTCCAACTATTGACCAAAGTAGCACTGACATGAAGTGAGCAAACAGGAAAAAAACTGTGCTAACTTAGAACTTTACGTCAGTATAGTCTAAATTCTTACCATTGCCTTAAAAGTGCCTCTCACTCTCCACTGCCAGAGCACTCTGTGGTCTCTGAGGCTGGGTCAGTGAAGGGACACAGTGTATTTCTTCAAAAGAGATCAATTGCAATCCCCCAAAGACCTTGCTGCATTACCATTACAGAAGATCACTAATCAGCAACAACTTGCTGTATAGCATTGGACACATGTAACCTATCTCCCTACATTATCCTCTTCTGTGTATTTTTTTCTTCCTTTAAAAAAAAAATTTAAAAAAATCACCAAACAGCTATATGCAGGATTGAATGAGATTATGCTCTTGCCCTGCTGAGCCTGGGGTAAACAGTGACTCAGACACAGGAGATAGAAAATAGAAATCTGTCTGAAAGAAGCAGTATTTTGGTGGGTTTTTTTCCTTTTTTTTTTCTTCCTTTTTTTTTTCTTTCCCTGATGTTTTCTCTGCTTGCTTCTCCATGAACATGAAACAAATAGTGTGAATTTGGGGATGTTTTAGGAAATGCTTGAATGCATACATTTAAAGTTTGCTGTACGCATTTGAAATGTATTCACTGTACACCACCACTGTCCTTTATTCCCCTATATTCCCCTGTGTAGGTGCTTAGGGCAACAGAAGGGAAAGTGAGCACTGAAGACAACGTTGCTTTGGCACAGATTGATGTCTCAGGGTCCAGCCCTACATGCCACAACCCCATGTGGCTCTTAATGACTGTGAGTGAGCTGCGAGAGTGAGGAAGCACTTGCGTTGTATTAATTGTTACCCACTATTAACAGCAATGGCTCAAATGTGACACTTGTTACAGCTGAGTGATACAAGTTGGTCTGAGGAATTTTGGTTGTGAACAGTGCTCTCCAACAACACCTTCACTTAATCCTGTATTAAGAAGCAGGGAATTGTATGAGGAGCAGCTGAGAGAACTGGAATTGTTCAGTATGAAGAAAAGGAGGCTCAGAGGAGACCTTATTTCTCTCTGCAACTCCCTGGAAAATGGTTGTGGTGAGGTGGGAGTCAGTTTCTCCCAGGTTGCAGCAATAGGATGAGAGAGAATGGCCCTCAAGTTGTCCCAGGGGAGGTACAGGTTGGATGTTAGGCTAGGAAACTTTTCTTCTCAGAAAGAGTGGTGAGGCATTGGCATAGGCTGTCCAGAGTGGTGATGGAGTCACTGACCCTGCAGGTGTTTAAGGGTAAACATGACACTGAGGGTCACAGTTTAAAGTGGTCACAAGTATTAGTTGATGTATGGGAACTGCTGAGTCACGGCCTGAACCTCTGATCGATCACCTGAGGCGAGCCATGAGTCAGGCAGAGGAGCACAGGTGAAGGCAATTCTCCTGTGCTGCTGGAAGGGGTGCAGCCTGGCTGCACCTCTCCTAGACCTATTTAAGAGCTGGCTACCAGTGGGGAAGGATCTCTTCTAGAGATCTGCTCTGCTGGAGTTTTGTGGGTGAGCCCGGGGTAGGGGTAAGCTTTCTATCTATTCTCTTTTTGTTATCATAGTCTACTTTGCCTAGCTCTCTTGTTTATTTTGTAATTATAGCATCTTAATATTCATTGATTATACAGTTGATGGTTGGACTAGATGGTCTTAATGATTCTGTGGTTTTAAAGCAATGGCTTCAAGGCCTTAAATAGGTGCTTTAAAGGCAGTATCTTGTACTACATATGAAGATGTATTGTTTTGTTATTTGAGTTTGTACAAGCTTCTGTGTGCTGATGAAGCAAGGAGTTCTGAAAGAGGTCTTTGTTTACTGAGACTGCAAATGGCAGTCTCCTTTGAATGAATCACAATTCCCTTCTGTTTTGTTTTACTTTGTGTGGTGTTGATTTGAGCCTGTGAAGAGTTGACTGACTTTCTCAGATACAGTAGGTATTAGGCACTGTTTTGGGGCATAGTAACTAAATAGCAGCAGCCAAAACTTCTCAAACTCACCTTCATTTCATGACACTGGAAAGCAATAAGTTATCAAGCACACTGTTAAAATGGAAGTCTTGAGAGCTTAAGTAGGTGGTATTAGGTATGGAAGTAGATTTGAGTGATAAGTTTACCTGTCTTCAATGTGTTCTTCGTATTAGCAATATAAAGATAGTTGTTTCAGTTGACTGTGTACTTTAGCTACTGTGTACTAATTTAATCGCTTTGGTTTAGTTATTATAGGCCCTGTTTGTGGTGGTGTTTTGCTACTTACATGCTAACTATATTTACTCTTAGCAATTTATTTATTTTTTTTAACAAGGGAATGGGAGAAAAAATTGGGAAAGTACAAAATTCACTGGCTTTTCAACACTGCTTGACTTAAAACACAAATGTCATTAGTCAGAGGATTTGTTGCAGTTGCAGGGATAACTGCCCTCCCAGCTCACCCTGGCACCCTCCAGAATAAATAACTGCAGGCATCCATCACCTCCTCACTGAATCACAGTCTGTTCCCACTGTGTGTAGGCTGCAGTCCCCTGTGATTCATCACAGCTGCCTCAGCAGCACTAACTCAGCTTTGTATGTCTCTAGTTTTTTTTTTTGTTTTTTTTTTTAACCCCTGGAAACAATATTCATGGTAACTGATTACTAAATCGCCTTCTTAAAGCAAAATGTTTATTTACAACCGAACTGTACAGAAGTAGGTACACTTCAAACCAGGGAATGATCTTTATCCCTGTTTTTTCCACATGGTTTACCATTCCTTGGTAAACTCTTATAATGTCTTCTCTATCTTCTTGATCAAAATGTCCCTGCAAGAGCTGCTGTCTGTGTCTTACCAGGTAACTGGAAACCCCTTGAGGTTTATCCTAGGCCCTATTCTGTTCTCTTGTCTCTCCTACCTCCTTTGAGAGGGCTTTAAAGTACTATAGTGATTGCTTCCATCCCTGAAGTGCTGCTCTGGCAAAACAAGGAAACACTGGAAACAAGTTGCAGGAACTGGCTGGAAACAAAAGCACCAGAATCAAGACACCATTCCAACAGTTCTTTTTATTTCCAAGTGTGTACTGAGATGTTTCAGTTCAAGGACCTGCTGCAAGTACTGCTGCTTGCTCTTTAAGCAGCCCCATTAGGGCTGAGCAATGTAAGCTTACAGTACATGTTACGGATAGTAGCCACAGCATCTGTACATAGGCCAAACAGAGTATTCATTAAACAGTTGTGTAGTAATGTAGTATTAAACCCAGGATTAATTTCACTTCTTTCTAGCTTAGTTCTCTTGTTTAATACATATATATATCTTCAGGCACGATTTTGTCTGGAAATGTATGTTTATTCCTATGCTTTCTGCATTTGTCAATTATACACTGAACAAATGTAATGTTATACTGTCAGGAACTAGGTTTGTCACTATTATAAGTAAAAGTTACTAGTATGCAAGATCTGCAAGTACTAATGTCAACTTGCAGCAAATGTATTATAGCCTCTCTACCAGATGTAATGATTGTATTATAATAATTTCCTCAGTTTTCCCAGATGCATAGGAGTGATTATAATACCACTTGTTTCAAAAGCTAAGGAATTTGCTAATAAAAATGAACTTTAGACATTTATTCATAGGTCGAATATGGTGCAGAAAGTGTGATAAGTTTAACCTTTATAGCAATGAGAGAAGCATGGAAAGTGTTTCTGGCAGAAGATAAATAGGAATAATAAAAAAAACCCACCCACAATTATCTGTTCTCTAAGATACTTCAGGTACAATTGAAAGTTAAGAGCTTGCTTGTGAAACTTGAAAATAAAAGCCATTTCACTTAGAATTGGAAAGTCCAATCCTAGTCATACTTGATTTGGAGGGGTTTTGCTAACCTTCCTCAAGACCCAGTTTATCTTTGGGACTGCAGTGGTAAATTCAGTAATCTAATCTCCTGTGTTGGATAAAGGCAGGAAGCAACTCCTCACCTGGAAAAATCAGTGGTCATCTGATACCAGCTAAAAGAAGTGTGGATGTGTTCGTCCGCACTTCCAATGCAGATATCTCTTTGATTATACTAACTACTGAGTGGTGTAGTACTTAGTGAATGTAGGACATTTATTCAAAGGTCTTTAGCTGGACACAAAAGAGGCCTGGTATTGTTCATCTCATGTACAATTTGTCTTACTGTAGGGCTAGTCTTTCTTTTCCCAGGTTCAGACCTCACTTCACAGTGAATATAGAAAATATGCATTTACCTGCATAAATTTTCACAGTGCTGACAGACCACTGAAATCTGTAGAATGAAATAAAAACCAAAATGTTAACAGGCAATTAAGTTGACATCATGAACTAGGAAGAAAGTTTATAACATTCAATTTCTGTGCTGTTTGGAGTATTCACCTCTTCCAGTTCTTCGGTCTCCATTTTTTGCTCTATGTAATCAGTGCAACTTTTCCTTGCTTTTGTTTTTTCATCCAGGCATTTGTGACAGTTGATTTAATAGGAGAACATCTGTAGACACGTGCTGAACATGCAATGTCTTATCTAGATTTTTTTAACATGGAATCCCTTTTTAAATTTAATTTTAAGTTTAAGTTTATGTTAACATTAAAACAAATGTTTTGCTTTTTTTTATCCTGTCCTAGAAAACATTGTTCATTACACACAGCCAAGCAGGACTTTCTGTGAATCCGGATGGAAATGCAGAACTGGAACCTACTTCCCCTTTCTTGGCTCTTATAGCTTTGCTTTATCCTGTTTTTAAGAAATTAGCTTTAGTATTTCATTATTATGTGTAGCTAACAGTTTAAGTGTGTTATGTTTCAGTAGCCTAACAAAAAGTGATGGGATAGCTATAAATATGTTACTGCCCATCTATTCATTTTTACAAATACAATCTGTTGCAATATACCATACAGCAAGGGCGCAGCTTCTTAACAGCTGCTGTATGGTTGTTTTCATGCCTGTTAAAAAGTGAGCTTCTACAATACCTGAATTGGTCAAAGCAGGACTTGTGTGCAGTCCCTGGACCAATGGAAGGCCCAAAGCAGACATAAAACAGGTTTAAATCTCTGTAACATCTGAACACCGTTTCCTGTCTCTAGTTCTTATTTTTATATTTGGCACAAGCTGCTATGACCTTTACTCCTATTCTTTAAAGGGATGACTTTTATAGCAGTGGGGGAGATTTGGCCTCAGATGTCTAAAACTTCTACTGAATTCCACTTGCACCACATGTGCCTATAATGGTGCATGTTGATTTAATGCTGTGAGTTGTAATCCCATTCTCCCCACCTCCTCATCCCAAAAGAGCTCAGAAATCACTTGCACTAGTTAATTAAAGACTTTATTACACATAGCTGGCTGTAACCAGAGTTGTTAGAGACCTACTCCCTCCCTGTGTCTACTCCAATTCTTGTACCAGCATATGTTCAGAAGTTTCTATTGCAAATGCATAGAATTAATACTAACACTGAGTATTCTAGATTAATAAATGTTTAGTTCACGCCAATGTCTTCTAAATTGCACATACCTAACACCTGGGATATGTGGTCAAACTCTAGTAGTAAGGAACTTAGAAAAGCAACTGTACTGTAGTAGTATCACTCAGATGTTATTGGTTTAACTTAACAATTCTTAGGGATCTGCAAAATGAAAAATTTGAGAAACATGGGATTAAAAGCAGGGCCCATAGGAAGAGTATGAGGGATTACTTTTTCTCCATCTGTACTAAAAATGGTCAAAGGAGGTGATGGAACTCTACTTACATACAGCATTCCTTCATTTCCATACAGAGCTCCCTCACCCTTTAAATCTCATTTTAAGACAGAATTTTGTCTACCTGGGACAAAAAATAAATAAAAAAATAAAAGAATTCACTTTCACGTTTAACTTGCTTGAGATGCATAAATAATCCCTTTCTCTTATAAAGATCAAGACAAGTGTTACTCTTACACTTGATACGCTCACACCTCTAAAGCACACATTTCAAGACCAGTCTCTGGATAATAGTCAATATATTTTGAACTATTTTGAAGTAATGTCTTGTCACTATAAATTCTGTAATACAAAATTTTTTGTCCATTAAATATTCACCTTGTCAAAGTATTTTTGGAGTCCAGATCTCCCAGCTGAATAAACCTAGAACAGTTATATTTAATCTGTTTGTCTTCCTTTGCTCTTTCACTATTTGCTGCCTGTAGCTGCTTTGTTGCCCTGTACCTGTAAGCTTTCACTGTATTAGGAACGTTACTGTTGACACAGATATCAGTGAGGCTATTTCCATGAAATAAAAATATTCATGAAAAGAGATATTGTTCAATGCATAAGATACAGCTTTGTGCTGATCCTCTGTCATAAAGAGCATTTTTAAGGATGGGCTATGTTGGGTTGACTGGTTGTCTTGTTACTTGTTCCCATTTCCCCTGAGCCCCATCAAAATGCCAGGAATGGAGACAGCCAAATATTACAGCTCTCATTTCCAGTTCTGGGAAAACTGAGCTATCAGTTTGAGCACCAGAATGACTAGGAGTTCATCACTGTCGGTCTGCCTCAGATTTGTCTTATCCAGATCCGCTTTTACTGTATTTGTAATTGGCAATATGTTGTGGGTCACCTGACCTGAAGTGGTCTCAACTGCCTAATGTAGAAGCAGCAAGATTGCCTCTCCTTTTTCTAACAAGGCGCTTCCCATCTTCACCTTCAGATAATATTAAGAACTGACATCTAAGTAAGCTTTGTGAGAGATCCTTCTGCAGCAGTGGCTCCCAATTTCTGTGTGGGTCTCTGTGTGTAGCAGCTATTTTGAAATCTAAAGAAGAAATGAATTGTTTTCTTCTTGGTATATTTTTATGGTATATTTTTGCATTGCTTTGACTTGCTATTCATGACATGATTGTCTTTTTAATTTATTCCTGTAGTATCCTGCTGGTATAATTTCTATATAAGCAAGAGCAGAATTAACCTTTTGGCCTCTGAGAAAGCAGGAATAGTTAACAGTAAGGTGGTGGATATCAGAGCAATATTCAGTTTGTCTCAGCATAACAACTCCTAATCCATAATCTTATCCAATTAGTGTATGGACTATTACAAATATTTCCTAAAAAGTCAACACAATAGGTTAAAAGCAATTTGTGAAATGAATTATAAAATATAAAAATATTTCTTGCAATTAGCTTAATCAAAACAGTCTTGTCAGCGTTTAAAGATCCATTGTAGAACTTTTACTTATATCTGTATTAAATTACTGTACAGAAATATGGTATGGAATTCCACTATTTTCAGCTATGAAAATAAACTGTCTTACAAACACACACATTGCAATTTGATAAGTAAAAGCTTTAGGTAATAAAGGCCTTGTTTTTATCCTTAAAATGTCACAGAAAAGAAATATCTTCAGCGCTGAATGTGTCAAAATAGCAGGCTTACAGAAAGCCATTTCCAGTCTTCCTGGAATCAACCAGCAACTTTCTTTTCTGCATTGTTTTTCAGCTGTTGTTTAAATGATACACAAATGGTGTGATCTGTATGCTTTCCAACAAACAGCTGGAATTAAACTGTTACAGAGCAAGTCTGTTGGAGCAAAAAGGGTGTAGTATGCCCTGATAAACCTGTGCCCCTGTTCATCTCATAATTCCAGAGGCTGATGGATTCCATTGCCAAGGGATTTGGGTATGTAAATCTCCCTGGCTAAAGCTTTGCTGAATTTTATAAGAACAGAACATTGTCTTTGTATTACTGAACACAATGGTTAGTGAGTCTTGTGACCTTACGCCGTGGGGATTGGATCTTTTTAAAATGTAATGAAAAAAAAAAAAAGCCCCACAATGCACTGTGGAGTACAAATGAGTCCCCAGAGATTCCTAAACCAATCTAAGAGTTTACAATAAAAATTTGCAAATGCAAAAGAAATTTTGACAGAGAATGAATAGATGATGACTGGATATGGTTATAAAAGGAGCAGAGTTTCCTAGTGAAGTTTTCATTCATGTGGTAAAGTGCTGGAGGTGACAGTTCACGAGCTACACACTGTCTTACCAGGAGATTGCCTCCGACTTAATAGAGTAGTCAGGGCAGGTCAGGGGACTGCAATAGCTGATTGCTTAAAGGAGTTAATGCAGCAAATGAGTAAGGTCACTCAGGCATGTGGTTGGCTTGTTTCTAAAGCAAGATACAGAATGAGTGACTAATTTCTTTGTACTCCTCTTCCCTTTCGTTTCATAGGCTGAGCTCCTTCATTTCTGAACAGATATTGCAGCTTCAGTGCAAGTTAATCTCCAAGTGGCTGCTCAGACACTGGCATTATGTCCTTCGTTGGATTTCCCTTTCCCAAAGGGAGCAAGTCTGAGCACTACTGACTTGCAGAAACCAAATCTTGAAAGTAGAAGCTGGATCTCTATATTTGAAGAGGAAGATAATAATAATTCACATGATACAAATGCAAATTATTATTATAGAAATAAAAATAAGGAAAAATAAAAATATGTAAAATCTAAACTCATTGCTCAGACAATGTGTAACTACTGTAGGCTGAAACTTCAGCTTTTCCTTATTTATTCTGGGAAAGTTCCTTTCCAGGACTGATTATAGATCATCTTTCTTTTTTGTTTCTTTCTTTCTCCCATGTGTCTTTTGGAAAAGTGAAAGTAGGGAGGTGGGCAGAACTGAAATCTTTATCAGCAGATGGCTAAGTTCTAGTCAGAGGCAGAAGGTAATGCAGCAGGAGAAGCTGTCTGCAAATGATTTTTACTCGCAGTGTGTGAGAAGTATCTAGTTCTTTTCCTTTTTAAAAGGCTTGAAAACAAGGGTTCTTTCCCTGAAGCCTAAGCCAGAAGAGGTGTTGAGCTAAACTCCTTTCTGCTCCAGTAACTACTGTGGGCTCAGTATTGGATGATTTCTCAAGCAGGACAGTTTTACATATAATGAAAGTATATTCTGCAGAAGTGATGCGAACTTCAAACATTTTTCCAAAAAGAAAATATTTAAAATGTATTTGTTTTTTTCCTGCTTTTAAACTCCATCCTCAACTTAGGTGTAAGAAAAAGGAGAAGGAAGACTTTCGTCCAAATAAACACGTATAAGAAGATAAAAGATTTGTTTGCAAAGATTGCTGAAAGGAGTAGTCCAGACTTTTCATAAAGAGCCAACAAAAACCTTTTGAAAGAACTTCTGACACATTTTTTCCTTTAAAAGTTTTGTCATACAAAAAATCCATGTAAGAATATTTCCCTGATACTTATTCACTCCAAAGAGGTTCTTTGGATAGAACCCATAGGGAAAAGCAAAAAGCTGTTTATTTTTTTAGAACAAGAAACAAACTTTAAGTGACATGGAGAGGAGAGAGGAGGAAAAAAAAAAAAAAGTCTTCTGTCAGAGAGAAGCTTTTTATATTTGAATAGGAAGAGCCTTTTTATCCTGTCTTATGCGGAATCAGTATGCATGCTATTTACACTACTTCCAGAATACCTTGTAGTGAACCTTCTCATTCTGCATTTTGGGTAGTAGATTACATTGAGGACTAGCTGCCTAACAGTGAGGAGGAGGAATAACTTGCAGAGGTTCATGCTTATACCTGAGTTTTGCTAGGGTGTGTGAACAAAAGAGAGATTGCATGAGATTCATAAAGAAGGTGAAGAGAGATGTTAAATTACAAAATCACAGAATTGTAGGGGTTGGAAGGGATCTCTGGAGATGGAGTCCAACCCCCCTGCACAGCAGGCTCCCAGCAGCAGGAATTTCTAGTGACATTCAGCTCGATGTGCATCTCTATGGCCATTCTTCAGAAATTTTCAGCTAAATGCAGCAAATTTACATGCTTTTTATTTTTATCCCTATTTATAGCAATGTTTGCTGAAGAGGCATTAGTATTTATCATGACAAGTTCAGTCATCAGAGTAAATATCCACTCTGCCTCATTCTGATTTTGACTTATTTGATTTATGTTTTTGTGGAAATACCAATATAAGCATTCTAAAGATTAAGACAATGTTTCAACTAGGGTAGACAATAATTAGTATTTGAAATGGTTTTACAGTGATTTATATGATGCATTGAGAACAAAGATTTATCTTTAAGTACTTCTATACAGTTCCTATGTCGTCTTAATTGTTAAAATAAGTTGAGAATATTAGCATATGATTGGTACTACGAAGAAATAAGACATACTGCATGTATGCAACGTGAAGTGGTGCTGAATGAATAAGTTATAGAAATAGTTATTCTTCAGACCATCTCTTGAATTTTCTTCACAATTCTGTTTAGTGAATGTAAGCCATGGCCCTAGTCTTTTTTTTTTTTTTTTTACTCTCCCTTAAGAAGTGATGTGATATGGCAATATCTGTATAACTAAATGATACTGCTAATGGAAAAAAAAAAAAAAAAACTCCAGGGGCTATTTTTTTTTCAGCTCCAATGAGTCTGGTCCCAAACTAAGTCAATGATGAAATTTCGTTGGAGCTCTCTCTTGAATCAGATCCTGAGATAAACATTGCCCTCAATTTTCTCTACTGTGATTCTTCTAGTTAGTTTACCCTAACACAAGCTGAAGGAAGTAGGTGTAAAGGTACTGTGCACTGTATTTTCCTTAATTTCAAAGTGAGTTTAATATTCATGAGTAGTGCCAGATTAACAGAGAAAATAGTTTTCTTCTACCCATTAAGCAAAAGTCTTACATAATTTAATACAGAAGAAACCAATATATATATAAATTTATCAAAAAGCCACCATTTTAATAGTGGTGAGTAATTTTTTCTATAGCTTTTATGAATCAACCTATATAATTCAGTAGTTCAAACTGCGTGTAAGAACCTTTTTATCTATTTAGCTTGGTGAAATTTTTCTTGAGGGCCTCCCTTTAATCCAGAATACTTCTCAAAGTAAAAATAAATTCTTCCCTGTAGTAGCTGTGGTTGGTGCTTCTCTGAGATAGTCATGACACGCAAATCACAGTTAGTTATGGTGGTACTCACTGGGGGACACTGAAAAAATTGGCAGAACATTTCACTGTTCAGAACTTGAATAAATCTGAATGGATTAATGATGAAGTCCACAGTTGTTAGCTTCCAAGTTGCTAATTACAAATTGGGATTGAGGTAATTTTAAGTAGACTCAAACTGATATCAGAAAGAAATATTATTCAGTCATTAATTTATACCATCTTTTACTTTGTATTCTAATTCCATTACTATTTTTTTTAAAAATAATGTTTCATTAAGAGTTTCTCTGTAGAGTGAGTCTTCATCTGTTAACCCTATCTTTTTTGTATATTATGTACCCACACACGTTGAAAGAGTTATTTATACCATTAGTTATCTTTGTCACAACAGCATCTAAAGACCCTGATCAGGACTGAGCCCATCCTGTGGTAAATACAGTGCAAATAAAGGCAAGATCTCCATCCTTGCCCTGAAGATAATAGCTCTAATAATTTTTGTATTTCAGATGTTATCAGTACATTATCTGAACAAATGTTTATCTCTCAGCAACACTGTGAAGCAGTGGAATATAATCCCCCATTCAAAGATAAGGAAATGAAAGATTGTGACTTGTCCAAGGTCATATAAAATCTGTGAAGAGCAACAGGCCACAATGTCTGATCCTAGTTTGTTGTGCTAAGCACAGTACTGGTGTTTCTTTCTGGTTTCAATTAGAAATAGATTCTCATGTTGGCCTTGAATTAGGAAACAGTTGAAGCAGCTATTGAAGACCAGTGCATTAAGTGAGCTGGGCATTTGTCCATTACAATTAGCTACTAATTTCTATTTTTCATGGATGTCAGAATCCTTTTCTTTGTCTTGACATCTACCTTCCACCACATCATTATTTGGCTTCAGTAAGTGTAACTCCATCCACCTCAACATCTTCCCCTGGAATTTTTCTCTTCTTAATAATCTGAAGCACACTGAAGTTTACCAAACTCACTTTGGAAATGAGTTCTTTGGTCTTGATTCAACTTCGTTAAGGCATCCTTGTGCTGGTAAAATGACCCTAAGCAAATAGATTTCTACCAGGATTTCTAATGTGATATAGTATGACCAGCAAGTCTTAGTGCTCTGAGGGACTATGTCCTTTGTCCTTTTCACATCTGGCTAGCCACCTTGAATCATGACTAACTATGTCTGCTTCATCTTTGTTGTATCTTAGTCTGGGGGCCAGATGCTGATCTCACACAGTGATGGAAGAATTCAGCACAGCTAATTTGCTCAAGATTCTTTTACGTATTTATTTAGGCTAAGTAATGTCTGGTTTTGTTAGATATAATGCAGGGCCCTTTTTAATTGAGCTATGACTGTGTTCTCCTTGTGGCTTAGCTGCACCAACAAAATTAAAATTCCATTCTGACACCACATTTCAGGTGAGGTTTTTTGATGCAGTGGTTAAGACTCCCTGAGCACAAGAGATAATATAACAGATACTTTAATGTGGGGCATTCTATGTCACCAATAAAATTTTATTCTTATGCTCATGTGAATAAAACTGGCCATCGAAAGTAATTAGTTTCTTCTGTACCAAAGCAGAAAACAAAAAACACATATAGGAAGCTCTACCCTTGTGGCAGTGCAGTCTGTCAGGTAGAGAGCTTGGTGAGGGGCTTCTTGCCTTCTCTTTATTACTATCAGTTTTGATGTGTTCTGTATTCAGGCATATCTGCCAGGTAACCTTGCCTACATCTGTACTATCATAAGCTTCTTGATCATACTGTATAATTGCCTAGAGAAAGTCCACCAGGACAAAAGCATTAAAAAAAAAAAAAAAAACAGTTTTCAATTTGACAACCAATATAAATGACAAATTCTCACTGACTTACAATAGAAATAAACTCTACTGAAATCAGGCACTGTATAGATTATGGCCGGACTGATATATATTTTTTTTTTTTTATCACCCTGGATGGCAAAAGTTAAGAGGTGAGTGGATGAAGCCAGTAGATGGTTTGTCAGGGTAGCTGTGCTGCTGGGTGTTTGTTGGAAGGGAACATTATTGTCACCCTGCCCGTGCCTGTACCCAGGCAGCCTCTGAATGGCAGTGCTGTCTGCTCCCTGGTTTGTGACTTCTGCCACCTCAGCTGGCTCCCTCTGTAATTCTGTCTCACCCTAATAACAAAAGTCAGAATTAGCAGATGGATTTCTGTCACTTACTACTCAGGATATTAGCGATATATGTTCAATTGATCACTAAAGGACCTTGATTTTCTATGGATATGCTACATATGACATGTGGCTTATGTGGGCCACACCTTAAGAAATGTATCCTTCTGTTCTGAAATCTGAAATATTTGTGGCTTATGTTTCTCTAGGGATAGGCATACTTGGAACAGTGTTCATGTTACCTCTTTTTTTTTTTTTTTTTTTTTAAACATCTGTCCCCCAGATGACATTTCCATTATAGGGATAAATGTTTTAATGGTTTAGCTTTAACCCAGTA